CACACACACGCACACACACAAACTCACACTCACACAGACAGAAAGACACACACACACTCACACAGACAGACAGGCACACACACACACACACACACACACACACACACACACAAACACCAACACACAGACCAACACACACACTGACACACTAACACACAGACAGACTCACCCAACAAAGCCGTATCATGCGTTAAGGGCGGCAGCGACATATCAATGATCTCCCTCCAATCCTCCAGAACTGCCCGGCCCAGCTCCTCTGGCGTCCGGAAATACTTCACCGGGAGTCCCTTCTTCACAAGCCTCTGGCGTAGGTCGTGGATCTTCATCTTGGCGTGTTCCGACTCGGACAAGTGCGTCTTCATGATGTCTCCCCGCTCCGCGTCGCTGCTAGATTCCGTCAGTCTCGAGAGCTTGTCGTCTAGGTGCTCCGCTTGGCGGTAATACAACGTCGTGTGCTGGTTGTCACACAAGAACGCGCCTTGCGTGACCTCCAGTTCGGGTACACTGCTGCACTGGTGGCCTACAAAACGTGAAATTGACAAATTAATTTACACGTTTACAGTTTGGTTACTTGGTCGGATGAGCATAGGTATCATCGCACGCGGTACAATGCCATAACTGCTCCTCCCTCCTCTCTAGGATCCATGAAAGGGTTAGCCTGCTGATCAAGCCAGTTATCAGCTGGTTAGATATTCTTCTCGATTACACGTTTATGTTAGAGTAAAAGTTAGAGTGAAAGAGAAAATGACAATCTCTTTACTGGCGTTGTGGTGTAGAGGTTAGGCGATTTACTGACGCACGCAAAAGACGAGAGTTCGATTCCTGAATATTTATAATTTTTAGGGGGGGGGGGTAATGTGTGTTTGTCGAGTATCTCGGTCTTTCTGCCATGACGTTGTGTCCTTCTCAAACCCGGTTGGTCCTGCCAGGTGGGGTTGAAGCAGCCCGCCTCCTAAATTATCTAAATTGTGTCATGGGGGCGTAAAAAATATAGCCACTATGAGCTTGAAAAAAAAACAAGACAGGGAAACAGATAGGTCGTAAAAATGTAGGACCTACAAGCACTACCTCTCACCCAAGCGCTCGGTCAAAGGTAAACGTGTTTTTGATTTTAACAAAGATGTAAGTCCATTAAATTTAGCCGCCGCCCCCCTTTCT